ACTGGGTGTAGCCCTCAAAGGCTGAAATATTTATCCTTTGGTCCTTAACTAAAGAGTTTGCTGACCCACGACCTGGAACACAGTTATAGTTCACAGTAAATAGACTACAAACTGCCTACTGGAATAAATGATCATGATCATTTCTGTGGACATCTGAAAAACACAACTGTCTCTGAGTGCCAGGTGTAATTGTAGAAATAGAAGGAATTGTAGAAACAGAAGGGGACATCAAAAAGTCCATAAAAATGGAGTTAAAAGATGTTTATTTTGATGTAAAAAATTTCAAAATCATAAATATGAGTGCAACAAATCAGAAGCATGACAGACAAGGTCTTGACCTTACAAAGTTCAATAAGGGAAAATAGAAAATGGTCACCCAGTTACTTAAGTATAGCCATGATGAGTGCTTACCAAGGAAAATGTGCAAGAGGTTGGACAGTATAGGAAAGAGTGAAGTATGCATTTCAGGCAGTATTCCCTAGGCAGTGCCACTGTTCAACATGGACTTCCCTGCTCTGAATCATTAGAGGAATCAAGGATGTGTATGTATGCTTCTGGCTGTCGTCCATATTTGGAGCTTCTCAGTGCTGCCTGTCAAGGTTGATCAAGTGGGTTGAAGCACTCGTATGCTCTGCTTTCCAACTGAAAGTAGCCCATGCCCCTCACCATGAAATCTTGCAGAATCTTCCACAGAAAGTGAGTGTTGAAACAGATGTGAGGGAGAAGGAAGAACTGCCACAGAAAAGATGGCTTTTCTGAAGTCATCTTCACTTTTCCCATCACTGGGATGAACAGCTGGTTCAAGAATGTAATTTCTAGAATTGCATATCTCTAGTAAAATAGGGTCACATTTAAGGACAATCAGTTGATTCAGGTCAAAACCATTTTCTGGATCAAAATGATGTGACTTAGGCAAGCTCACCATGAAGAGCCCCTTTCCTTTTGCCTATAGTGCTAATCTGTGGTATCTCATATGGTCAACAGATCGGCTGGAGTGAGCATCCGGTCATTTAATACACAAATTGCATAACAGCTGCCCCTACATGATTTCTATCTGCTAAGTTTTAAGTTCAAGAGAATTTTAAAGGAAATTAAGTACATGTCATTCTTACTGTTTATGCTCATCACTGAATGTCCAAGAAACTGTTTTTAGATTTTAAGTGGCTGAGGGCCACATAGTTTTAATAGCCAGAATCAGCTTCACATAAATGGAAGTCTGATCAAATAGGTGAACCTGGAATATGTAGAAAATCCCAAAGGGACAGAGGTAAGCTCTTGTGCATCCTTCAGTCATGACTTGGTTATATCCTAGGATAACACAAGCATGCCAGAGTTCATCAGGACCCACTCAATCCAAGAGCATAACAAACCCCCAACACATCTATTTTAAAATCCAATAAAGTGAAATCACATTTCTGCCAGTCTTGCTTCCTCGCACCTAATATGTTATTTTTGGCTTATTGGCCTAAAGCTTGGAGGAACTCAGCAGCATTATCAGTTTTCAGAAAGAAACACTTAGAAACTTTCAATGACTGGGAAGACACAGTTAAGAATAATGAGACATTCTTTGGGGCTTCACTTTTAGCACACAGTTACCTGCCTCTGATGCAAATGCTTGTGTGTGTGTGTGTGTGTGTGTGTGTGTGTGTGTGTGTGTGTGTACGCACACACATATTACAAGCAAAGGAAAAACAGGAACCCCAGTCAAGCTAAAGCACAAAGAAGCCCTTGTTTAACACAGGCAGACCAACAGGAATTGGAGAGAGGTCCTGTTTCTCAGGAGCAATTTGATTTTGACATTACTATTCCATAAGTTGTAAAAACATTTGGAAAAACAAACACAAAAAAACCAGAAGTTCTCCAAAGAGAATGTCAGAACATCACAAAATGATAGCGGGAGCAAAGTTGTCAAATTCTTAAGCACTTAATTACCCAAGATTTTCATCACAAACGTTGTGACTGAGAGTAACGCAATAGATCTGTTCAATGTCCGTTTTAACCTTTAGAGCCAAGTGGTCACTTCCAAGGCAGTCTACCAAAGTTTGCATCAGGCTCCAACTTCAGAGCAGAACTCAGTTTAAAAAAAAAAGAAAAAAACTACCCTAGGAAACAGAGAAATTAAACATGAGCTGGTAGGAACGTCTTACCCTCATTAACTGACAGAGCCTTTATTTGTGCAGTGAGAGCTGTTGTGTGTTCTTAAACCTACATTTTTAGCTTTAATGAGAACATCTAGCACAAGCTGAGCCCACAATTCTCTGCTTCCTCCTTCCCACTGACTTCTTCATTGCTCAAGGTGGTTGTCAGAAATCTCACCATTAGCCTACAGCTCCCTAGCGCTTGTTATTATTCAGAGATGCAACTACTTCTGTTTTTATATCAACCAAGTCCCCAAAATTCTTCTAATAAAAGTCCCTAAAACTCATGTAAAAAGACGCCTCCTCTGACTAGGTGTTTGCACCTACTTCCAATACCAGGCACTTTGGAAGAATACACAAGGAATGGAACACATTAGTTAACTATGAATATCTGTACTTCCCAGCCAAAACAGCAGCCCCCTACAGAATATCAGCTACAAGGCCTTCTGAGTACCTCTCTGCCTAATGTTAGATCTGCCCACTGAACTGTGTACAGGCCACAGCATGAGATGACTAAACATGCCCACAACCTGGTTTGTCATCTGAGCCCAACCTGCTCCTCTTGCATTCTGTTAGTAAAGGGTGACACCTCATCTCATCTGGTTGCTCTAGCAACATTTTTCTCTCCCACTTCCTTTCTCTACCTCTTTCTCTGCCAGTGGGCAACTGATCACCACGTCTTGCTAATTTGTGACTTGCTCATCTGCCCTCTACTCCTCATCACTGCTTCTACTATCTTAGGCTTGGACCTGTATCTCTTGTCCGGACACCAGCCACCTGCTAATTAGTCTCTTTCCCTCTAAGTCAGTCCTTCATGAATCTGTTTTTGAATCCAAAGCTAGCTACAACATTTGTTAACAGTGAACTTACTCTTACTAAAATTTTGATGAATATTATCATAATCTTGGCATGTACAAAGCATCTCTAAGTAGGACATAAAACCTAGAAGGCATAAATATGCTACTTTTTAAAACCTTCTGAAGATAAACAACATATTAATTACTTAAAATAACTGGAAAAATATAAACAGTATACATGGTAAGGGACATGCTAATTACTCTACTATACTAAGAGTTCCTACAGCTCACCAAGAAATTCAAGTTTGAAATAACAGCTTGAGTTCACACCAGATGAGAAAAAAAAAGAATGTAAATGAACATAAAGCTGTGAGGAAGGCACAATTCTTGCAAACACTGGTTTTGGGAAAGCTGATTAGACAACATGGCTACTAAAGCTGCTTCAAATGTCTGGATTGAATTACATTACACTTCAACACCTGGATATAGCATTTGAAAAATGCCTCTGGTCTCTCTTATTTATGCCTTTAGAGCACAGAGAAACACGTTATAGATCAAATCATCCCCTATAAGGCTGGATAGGCCTTTGGGCCTGATCATTAGTGTTTCCACTTTGAGCCAGAGGGTTAAGGTCTTCGGGAATTCTTCTGGGCTCACACAACAGCAAATGCTGTTATTCCATCAGCATTGGTCTGTGCTGGGAGGCCAAAGCAAACAGCATCAGGTTGGATCACTTTTTCCACTCTGACCTGAACTAAGTGGCCAAATCAGATCCTCTGACCAAAAGGCAGGGCCTCAGCGCAGTGTGCACAGGTGACCTGCTGATGCAGCTGCCATGAGAACATCTACTCTACCTACACATGAGGTCTTCCAAAACAAACTTGACACTAAAGTTCTACACACACAGGTGGAGGACTCGGCTGTAGAATGGAAGCGCAGATGAGAAGGTAAGTTTGTTGCACCGTGAGATGAGAAGCATTTTATTAGAAAATCAATGCAGAGTATTCCCACATTTTTTTATGTGAATCTGAAAGTCAGGCCAATCACATATTACATATTGCAAGATTATGTCTATTTGCCAAAAATAAAATTTTAAACACTAAAATTGGGACTGACAATGGAATGAAATTATGAGTAAACTTATGAGAAACAAGAAGTTAAATCCAACAAAATGGTACTGGATATTAGAAAGTGCAACAAACATTTCCTGGCTTTTAAAATGTAGGGCTGCACTGAGGAACACACATAACAGAATACCACCCGTGCAAGAGGGACACACAGAGAGCAAAGTCAGTACTTAATGTTTTGAATTGTCTTTATTTTGAAAATGCTTGCTCCTAACGTTGTTAAGAATTATCACATTTAGGCATGAATCCTATTTTATAAGCAGCTTAAGAAAAAAGAAGATAGCTGGATTTTTACATATGTGGCTTATGCAATACATTTGCAGAAATTCCAAGTTTGATCAGAGCTTTCTAAAACCCATTTAATTCTATTATTTGCCTCAGAACAAGTTAATAAAATAGCTTCCTCATACATCCAGAGGCTTACAAAGCCACTGTTCACGATTCCCGACTGAAATGGGCTTGGTGGCTTCTGGAAATGAGCCTCATGCATGCAGATGCACAGTGTGGTCGATGAGATGGCACACACACACTGGCAAGCTGGCCAGTCTAGAACTCTGCAGCCCAAGCAAGCATAAAACCAGCCAAGAAAACCAAATCCAACCAGTAGCTTCCTTCCCCTTCTTGGAGAAAAAGGGTTTGTGACTTATTTGAAAGTAGTGAGTGCCAGAAAATCCTGAACTTTTGCTTTTCCATACAGGGAAAGAAATGGAGGTCAGAAGACCAGAAAAAACATTGCTGGAATATATACACCCAGCCTTTCTGGAAGGACTCCTCTGTGGCCAGTTAAGTTGTATGTTAAATTAACAAGCAAAAAAATAAAGGAGACACACACAAAAAGTAAATAAAAGGCACAAAGTCTGTGTGATGCTCACACGATTGTCTCAGACCCCCAGTGTTCACAAAGACCAACTCTAGGATAAGTGAATGTAGAGACTCACTCTGGGAAGCATAATGCCCCTCTGCGGCTTTGTCTTCATGCCCATCGTAGTCCCTGCTGGAAAGTTGCCTGTTGGCAGTCTCCAGTCGGTCTATGAACAAAGAGAAAATGATTAAGAACTGTATGCAGAATGAAGTCACCATCCAGCTGAGAAAAGACTTGGGGACCAAGAGTTGGGTAGGGAGAGATGCTCCAGCAGGAGCCAACACTGAAGAGCTTGTGTGGAGGAACAAATTGTGTTCCAAAATATCAGAAGAAAACTCTTCAGATGCTGTGCTGTGTGTCAGTACAACTAAAGCCACAGGGAATGCACCAGCAATAGGTTTCTAAGGACAGGTTATGAGAAAACTTCCTCCTTCTGTGATTGGAAATTCTTACAAAGAGGTGCAGTTTTATCGGCTTCAACCTCAGTTTCAATCTAATCTGGACCATCAGGCCTATACCTTAACTAGCAACTGTCATCTGTATCAGAATTAATAAAATAAGATCTGATAAAACATTTTTAAAAAGGCATACTGACCTAATGAATAAAAGTTGTACACTGGGACCTTTATACTTGCTCAAACTTCTTGGTCTGTTTTCAACAATTCAATTAAATAATTCAAGTCAAGTGGTGTTTATTGAATGTATATGATACCCAACACAAAACAGTTTGTAGTAACCAGAAAGCAAGCAGAGGTTGTCAAGATCCTGCAGCAGGTGGCCCTGCATTTCAGGGAGTAAATACATGTCTACTCTTTTCATAACGGGGGCTTGTTCTTTTCTAGAAGGCAAACACGTCTAGTTCTTCTATACTACATCAAGAAACTGCAAATGCTAGCTTTCAAAAGATTCTACCAGATGACTGAGCCTGATGTGGTAAGGGCTGCGCATCCTACATTGTTTTCAAATATCCCTATTGACAGTCATGAGTTACTGCTCAGTACTTTCAAAGCCAGGAAGAGCTACACACAGATTCCCTTCCTTTCACAGACTTGCACATGCAAGTGGTTACTTTTAAGGCTCAGTGCTACAACTTCCAAGGCAGAAGAGAATAATTTTACTCTTTGAGCACCACCCCTCTTAGAAGGTTGGGATTTACAAGATTGTCTAACACAGGCAGTACAGAACCTGTAGCCAAGCAGTCTGGCCCTGATGTCAGGCTGCTGGCTGTACAGTAGTTTAGGGTAGCGGCAACATAGGACTTGACACACCTCGTAGATCCCTGTTGAAATCATGAAGTCTTCTAATTTCGCCTTCCAGTTTGTTTCTCATTGCCTTGTCCAGTGACTCTCGTTTGGTGGTAGACTTAACCAGACTCTCGTAGGCTTCTGAAATCCTCTGAAGTTCCTTTTCAAACTAAAACAGAAAATTGCTATTAAGGAGATATTCATGATGATGGATTAGTAATATTGATTCCTTGACATTGCAAGTAAGAAGGCTGGGTCATTGTGGCAGCCTTTCCACATCTCAAGTTTCTACCTGATCATCTAATTGATTTCATTCCCTATCTACCTCTCAAGGCTGTTCGGATCCTGTATGTAACCTGCTCACAAGTTTGGCCAGATCACATTACAAAAAAATCCCTCTGTCCCGATACAAACAAGTGGTACCTCTAAACACTACGTAAAACGCTTACATTTCATATGGCAATTTATGCCGTTACTATCATCCCAGTTAACATAAGGAAAATATCAAAATACAGAAAAGCTAAAGAACTGCAACTGCCAGATTTCAAGTGCAGAGACCTTCCTATCATGCACAAAATGTGAAATCCACTAGAAAGGGTGCTTACTGGTCAGTATTATGCACTTGTCTATGAAACTATCTTTGTAAAAGATATATGGGTTTATACCTAAGTGTGAACAAAATTCCCTTGAAAAATGTCTGTATATACAGGCATTGATAGTGTTGGGATTAAAACCACACACACACGTGTTTCACTAAATCAAAACTAATTGTGGGAGCCTTAATTTTCTGTATATAAATTTATGCATATAAATTCATGACAACAAGCAAAATCATTACGATAAGGGTCTAATACAACAATGTGTTTGAGGTGGAGATTGATAGACCCTATTTTATGGTCATGTTGCAAGCTACTGAGAGACTGAAAACATGGAAACTCCATCAGCTGCTGCTGAAAGAAATTAGAGGCAATGCTTGTAGGACTGCAGAATTAATGCTCCCTTCCTTCCCCAAACCAGCTGGGCATCAAGAGCCCCAAACCATATTTTCAATGCTTCTACAACACAGCAATGTCATCAGCAGCCAGGTATCCATTTTCGTAAACCCCAATTGCCCAGACTGGAAAGTCCTTGCCAAGACTCCAACAAGTAATACATATGCTAACAAATATTCAGGGTTCATTTCTAATGTGTAGAAACTCTTCTGGGTGCCAGGGACAGAGCAATGAGACAATGTCTGGCCTTCAGGAGCTCACTGTAAGTTGGCCTTACCCAGACACACAATATAATAAGGGCTAAGACGGTGAACTAAATTTACTTTTCAGTAGTGAGAAGATGGTTCTTTAAAAAAATTTTTTCCGGAGAAGATGCCATCTTTTTATGAATTGTGAAGGCTGAACAAGATTTTTCCAGGAGGAAAAAAAAAAGGTGACTGGGGTTTGACATTCTAGGCAGAATACAGGACATGAGCTGAGAAGGCAGGTGAGTGTCTTTGCAGACAGGAAGTCCAGGGATGCAAGCAAGGAGACAGTAGTGACAGAAGGGTTGCAAGGGAAAATTATAGGGATGGAAGTTTGGCGGAGGGAGGGCTGTAAGCAGAAGGGTGGCATCCTTTCAGAGAAGCTTGAGAGTCACAGGGCAGGACTGGGTCGAGAAAGCAGGAGAAAAGTCGAGGTAAGAGGCTACTGTAACAAGTTCGTGGAGAGATGACATGGGTGTGCAGCAGGAAAAAAAGCCAAATCACAAAGATACTGAAGCATAGAATCAACAGATCTTGGTGCCTAGGTTTGGACCATAGAGCAGAGAAATAAGACAACATAGACATCCACAGAAAGCTCAATAAGATCTAACCAAGAGTAATGCTTCTAAGAGAATTAGATTTATCAAAAAAAAAAAATTAGAACCAGACTGGTTTTGGAAACACACTTGAGAAACCTGTAAAACATCTTGAAAAAGAGTTCTCATTAGCAGGTGAAAACACAGGTCTGAAAGTCAGTAGATAACTGTTTTTCCTCTACTGAACAGAGAGCAGAAACAGTCATAAAGTGAAGACCACTTAGGGAGACCAACTGAAGACCAGAAGGCCAAGGACAGGGAGTACTGATGCTGAGGGAGAGATAGGAGCATAACAGAGACACAGAAGCCAGTGACAGCTTAGGACCCAAGAAGTCAAAAACACAAAAGAGAGATCATGGTCCATGCTTTCACAGGATGTGTGCCTGCAAATAGGCAAGTCAGTCTACGACACCAAGGCGCCTCTTGGTTCCAGGTTATTTCCCCAAGATGTCCTCAAATTGCAGTGGTTCTTCCATTATCTCTTCATTTCCCCAAGGCCTCTGCACTTCTTCCAAAGATATGAACTGCTGGTAACGTGGCAGCATCATGAACAGCATTCTGAGTTCTACCACAAATGATATTCTTTGCTTTTAATTCTGTTTCCAAACATATTACCGTGGGTGAGTACTGTGAAGCAATGGGACTAACCAGCAGCATTCCATATTGGAGTGTCAGTTCAGGTTGTACTTCTCTGCTTCTGATACAGCTCCACGCTAATGCATACTGGGAGGCAGCAGATATGGTTTAAGAGCTTGGGTCCCTATGCTCCATGGAGTATCACATTTTTATCTTAAGCCTGCCCAGTTTTGGTTGTTTTGGCCATGTTGGGGGTGAACCAACCAACGAATGGAAGATCTTTCTCTCTTCTCTGCCTTTCAAGTAAATGAAAACTACTTAAAAAAAAAAACACAACAAAACACATAACCCTATGTTACTTTCATCTATAAAATGTATCTTTCGTTTCCAGTCAAGTAAGCAAGCCACAGGGACTGTACTTCTTGACGGGCCATAGTCTGATCCTGGTGGAAACTTTGTCCATTAATTAAGTTTCACAGAAACAGAGAGGAAAAAGAAGAAAAATTAGTAACCCAAAGAAAAGACAAAAATAACAGCTCTTTCTTGAGGTCCTGAAGCATCCTTCTGACATTAGCAGTGACCTTGAGCTTCTATGCAAACAGGGCCTTCAGATTCATGCTGGGCTTCGGCAGACCCTGCATTGTTGCGCTTTTCAGCTGTGTTCCTGGTGCAGTTTGAGCACACTAAGCTTTGTAATTAAAAATCCACTCATTTTCAGTTTTCCCCTTACGACACATCTTTGTATGGATCAGAGTGTTCCCGATGGTGTGAGGCTTTTACACGGGATGAGATTCTGGGCCCACTGTAGTTTTGTCCTGCAGTGTAGTAGCCTGAGCCCACCCAAAGCAGGCAGACATATCCCCCTCCCCCAGGTCACTAGCAGCGTCATCACTGAGAGCAGCTGTCGTCACAACCATCACCCTCAACCCAGCAGTAAGGCCAAACACCAAGCAGCGAGGCCAAGGGTGAAGAAGAGGTGAGATTGAGAGGACCTTGGGAACACAAGGTATGAACGCTTACACCCCAAAATTCAAGCAGTTCTCCTGGGCCCAGTGTTGAGGTCATGGAACTGGTGGTACACACGGCAAGCATCCACCCAAATCTCCAGCTTCTCTCAACCTCTTTGGTGTGACATACGAACGATTCATGACATGCTGTGTTTATGCAAACACTAGTAGTATTCAAGGGGCTGAAAAAGCTTTCCATTCCCGAAAGGAGACTGCTTGGCATTTGTCTCCTTTCCCTGAACTTATCAAAGTCCTTTGGAAATGTTTAAGAAATTTTAAGAATTTTAAGAATCATCTTCTGTGTGTATAAATGAAGTCCTGGGAAAGTAAGTGATTTTGTTGTTCAAAATAAAACCATACATCAAAACCAAGAAAGAGATTATGGCTAAAGTTCAATTACATATATATGCCTAAAAATGTCAGTGTATAATGACAGGAAGACCTCCCAGTCTTCATTCTGTCCCTGAGACTTCAGAAACAGTCATGTGAAAAGAGCCAGCACCAACCTCTGGCCTCAGGTAGGTCTGCATAGCTCTGGACATGTCTACTGTGAGCAGAATTAGGAGAGAAGAAAGAAGCACTTGTTTTCCAGAAACTGCTGAGTCTGCCCTGCCTCATTTTCAAACTGCAGCAAGAAACAGACTGCCCTAGGAGGTGTTGGAGGCAAGTCAGGGCCTGTGCAGTGACTTACAGGCCAAGGGCCAGGAGACACATACCTGTTTCCCAACTTCTAAAGGTTCAACTGGAGGTGGGAGTAGAGCCTCAATCTTCAGGCAGCCCCTGTTTTGTTTCTGCCTTCTATTTTTCCCTCGGATAAAGGCTTCCAAAGCTCCCCAGGCCAAGTCTGGACTTGACTGCAGGGGAAGCTGTACATGAATGCGCCAGGGCCGACCATTTGGGAGAGTCTACACCATCAACTGCACTGTTCCCAGCTCTTTGCAAGTGATCTCAGGAAGCAAAGGAAGCCTGTTTCTCTGAAATTCTGGCCAGCTTTACTTGCGAAAACAGCACAACACAGTGACCAGCAGGCCAGCTGGGAATCCTATAGGGTGTGATGTTCCTGCAGTCAAGTCAAGTTCGCATTCCTGTATTTTCTTTTTATAAAAGCCTCTGCTTTCTGAGGACAGAGTCAGACATTTAGACTTAATAAAAAGATTTATTTTATTATTTCTTTTTTTTTTTTTTTTTACAAAGGCAGATACCCAGAGAGAAGGAGACACGAAAACAAATTCCATCTGCTGATCACTTCCCAAGTGGCTGCAACAGCTAGAGCTAAGCCAATTCCAAGCCAGGAGCCCAGAGCTTCTGCCAGATCTCCCACATGAGTGCAGGGTCCCAAGATTTTGGGCCGTCCTCCACTACCTTCCCAGGTCACAAGTAGGGAGCTGGATGGGAAGTGGAGCAGCCAGGACATGAACTAATGCCCATACGGGATTCTGGCGCATGCAAGGCAAGGACTTTGGTTACTAGACTACCGTGCTGGGTCCAGACATTTAAACTCTTAAGAGCTCTCCCATTGCCTGCATACATGCTTCCTTGCTTCCAGAAGCAAAACTCATGTACCCTGTGGCTCTCTACCCTGCAACATCCCATTAACTTTGTCCCCATGTACCTCTTCCAACAAGCCGTAGTGCATCAGAAGCTGAAGTGTGGGTCATCCTGAAATCACTGACAACAGTTTACTCTTGCAGGACGTTCTCCTATTTACTTTGGCTCTCAGCATGGAGACCTTAAGATGTAGTCCCATGACAACGACCTGGAATGGACTCCTATCTCCCCAGCTGAGATGTCAGAGCATACAGAAAGCACACAAGGGTGCCTTCTCTTGATCCTTTAGTGTTGAGGCAATAATACTTTTTACAGAGACCAACTAAACGAAACAGCAATCACACAGTTCCTGAGATTTTCAATAAAAATTAACTGCTCAATTAATTCCGTCTATATCACCATGTGCCCTCTCCCACCCTGCTCAGCCAGTGAAATTCTACTTAACTTCGATGTCTGGTTAAGACACACCTATGTCTCTGCTATACCCTTTTCAATCCTTTGCAGGTGTCAGAATACGCAACTCACTTTCCTTCTTTCTGCTGTTTCCGTAAAACCTTTACCAGCACCTGACATAAACATTGGCAAGGGAGTCAACATGTTAGTGTTCCCTACCTCCATCATGAGTAGAGACCATTCTCACTCCCACACCCCCATCCCCACCACTACCCCCCAAAGTCACTTACCTTGTGGAGTTTGTCAGCATTGTCATAGTAACCCTGAAGCTCCTGGTGAAGCACCCGGTTCTCCTCGGTGAGGATCTCCACCATTTGTTGAGCTCGCTCCACAATCGCGAAGGCGTCTGGACCAAGCTGCTGGCTGGGAGAAGCGGCAGGTGGGGGCTGTGGCAGTGCCAGGGTCATTGGAAGTGGAAGTGGCAAGGAGACAGAGTGCAGTGGCCCACTGACGGAGGAAGTCTGGGAGGACATTGGGCTGTGCTGTTGCACTGTCGATGGGAAGGGAAGTTGGCAGGGGCGGCTGCAAAGAACAGAAGGCCAGTAGTCAGCTCCCATGAGAAGTGAGTGACAGAGAAGGAAGGAAGACCAAACTCTGTATGCACCGTGGAAAGCTTCCACTGTATGGGGTCATCAGAACACTTCCCAATGCTAGGTGCACACAGCAGACTAAGTCCCTCATCCCACAAGTATTCACCGTGTTTGCCTCTGGATCAGCAGTGTTCCAGCTCCTGAGGATACAGTCCCCACTACTCTCTTGAAGCTTCCACTCTAAAATAGTGCATGGAGACAAGCAGGCCATTAACCAATCAACAAAGCCAAAATTCAAAAATCTGTGAGTACTCTCCAAGGAATAAAATGGAATGATGTGAGAAGGGCCAGCTCTGAGAGATACGTCAGGGAAGGAGCCTTGAGCTTAAGTCTGAATGGCAAACAAGCAGAAACCTGTGCTTTGGACAAAGCAGGTAGAGAAGGAAAGGAAAGGGGTATCAATGAACTAGTGTAGTACATGGGGAGATACAGCAGGAATTAGCACTGGCATCAGTACGTGGAAGAAAGCAAGCCGGGGCAAAGCACATCCAGCCATCAGCAGGGTGAGATAAGGCTAGAGATGGGCAGGAGGCCCTGTGAACCAAGGCCAGACTTCTCTGCAGAGGGTACACATGCCAGGGAGGGATCTTTCCTCCAAGTACTGCAATGAATACAGTGCACAGGGACAAGATCAGAAGTCCAGAGTTCAGAGGGAAGGCAAAAGGGTGGTCTAGGGGAGAACCGGGGCCCAGAGTCAACGCAGAAGCAAAATAATCGGGTATTTTGCTATTTGTTTTGTCTTTGTTATGGATGGCTAGAAAGAAAGGCAGGAAAACTACATGTATTCCTTGATTTTGAGTGCTATGAGGATGAGAAAGGTTATCACAGAATAAAACAGTCAAATCTAGGGGAGGAACTATTTTGTGCCTTGTTTTGAGTGGGAGAGGTTTTAGCAATAATCGAATGTTGACCATGTCATAAAGAACATGTGCAGTTTTCTCTTGCTGCCTCAAATTCCTGATATTAGCACCTGTATTTGATATTGGAAGTTTCCAAGTCCTGATCCCACTTCCTAATAATTCCTTCCTCACTATTCCGCTGACCTCACCATTCCATTCCTGTTTCCTAGAGTCACTGTCTTTTGTTTCAACCTCAGCCAAAAGCTCCCAATATTGCCTTGATGGTATAAACAGGTGTAGTCTTGATGTCTAGTTTTCCAATCACAGATATCCCCAGCTGCAGAGGGACTTTCTCAACTTTTAGGTCTCATTCCGGGAACTACAGATACCATGGTAAGAATCACCAATGATACCCAAACACAATGCTCTGTGTTTAGGGGCTAGCCTTGCAGATCCAGTTGCTTCTGTTCAATAAAAATTCCATGAACCACCATCTCTAACTTGTGTTTATCCATCTACAATGATTCCAGAACAACACTCATTTGTTCTGGCTCTCTTAAAGAATATTTTGGGATGCTGTTAACCTCCATACTTTTCATCTCATAAGCAGGTCATAGCCATAATACCTATGAATGCCAACTCCCAGTAGCTAAATGTTTATGAAAAAACTTTGACAAGGGTCACTTCAGCCTCTCTACATGGATAGGCAGACCTCAATAAAGACAACCTCAGAAGTCAGCAGATCCTAACAGAGTCATGACCTTTGGTTCTTATTTTCGTAACAGATAATGTAACACTTCACCTGGGTCAGGAGGTATTTTCTAAGTGGATTTCCTGATGTCTTCAATCTAGGATCACCCCCCCCCCCCGTCTCCGTTTCATGCTCAGATAAGTGGATTTGAGTTCCTTTGGCAAGATGGTGATGCATCGTGCTCGATGCAGTTATTTATTGATTAAGTGGACTTCAAGGAAGCTTGTTAGTGGGAAGGCATAAAAAAATCATAAAAAATCATCCAGTCCTTCTCTTTCCGTACACCAATCATACAAAAACTTGGCTAACTCTTCAGACTCAAAACATCTCTGCACTTTGATGAGTTCATGCCCCTTCCACACTCAAGGGTGTATGAATATTTGTGCTTTCCTGAATGTAAAAGGAGGTTCAATTCCCACAATAAGAATTAAATACCCTGTCTCCATTCACAACACCCTGCTTTCACCCCAGGTCACTGACACTCCTTTCAGGCATGAGCCCAAAGACAAGAGATCAGTTACTGAGTGCAGCTTCCAGCAGGTTAACTAAAGCGAACATGGTTTTTTCATGGACAGAGCCAAAGTGCTGCAAATTCCCCCAATTCACAAGCAGACCTCTCTCTCTCCTGAGCAGTCTCTACACAATCCACCCAAGGGCAGGTCGGGTTTCCTTGGAAATGGAAGGGGTCAGCTGTGCTCCCACCCACTCCCTAGCCCAACCCAGGGACACTCAGGGTGGGACTTTCATACTTTTCTTTTTATTTAATTCTCAGATTTTGAAGTCATTTATGGCTAACTCTGGGCTTCTCTTCTCACTTACTATTTTTTCTGTTACTTAACAAGACAAGAGGCAGAAGTCAGATGACTGATTCCTTAATGTCAGTCTCCATTATCAACAATGAGCGAGAAGAAGCCTACCTGTCAAGCTGAAGGGACGGGTGCCTACAGCAGTCTCCTGCCAAATACAGAGCATGGGCCTCAGCAGTAGCCTAGCTGCACATCTGTGCATCTGATGAACACCCCATTACATTACCCAGAAATTGGTGTAGGCAGGGGAGTCGTGGACTTAGCATGAATGAGGAGAAAGCCTATTGGAAGAGAAAATCATACCTATGCTAAACATCAGTCTACCCTCAATGCCACTGATGGACCACTATCAGGACTAGCACATTTTAGTAACGGACACTCAAAGAGCAAAAAAACATTGATGGAAGGACCAGCGTTGTGGTATACTAGATGACACTGCTACCTGCGACACCAGAATCTCTTATGGGCATTGGTCCATGTCCTGACTGCTCCACTTCCAATTCAACTCCCTGCTAATATGCTAGGAAAAGCAGCAGAGGATGGCCTAAGCGTTTGGGCTCCTGTCACCCAGGGGGAAATGCAAACGCCTCTCTTGCCTTTAGCCTGGCCTAGTGTTCGCTGTTGCAGCCATGTGGAGAATGAACCAGTGGGTGGAGGATCTCTGCCCATTATACCCTCTCCCTCTGTAACTCTCAAAATAAATGCCTTGTTTAAAAAAAAAATGGGGAAACTACTTGTGAAGATAATGGTGTGTTTGTGAATCTATTTCTACTATTAGGAATTTAGATAGCCACTCTATTAAACTGTATGTCAGCTGTAAAAAGTATCTGAGGCACATATATAAGCTTGGCACATAGGAAGCACTGGACAAATGGTGGCGGTTACCACCATGTTTATATTATGTGGAAGATGGCCTTGTGATGAAAATGCTCATGTTCTATAGAAGAGTGCCTGAATCAGATCCCTGGCTCTGGCTTCTGTTTCCTACTAATGCAGTTCCCATGAGGCAGCAGTGATGGCTCACTAATAAGGTTCCTGCCTCTCACATGGGAGACCTGCACCGAGTTCCTGGCTATTTGCTTCAGCCCCAGCCCAGAATTGGCTGAACTGGCTGTTACTGTAGGGACTCAGGGAGAGATACAGCAGATGGGAACGCATATTCTCTCTCTCTTTCCTGCTTGTTTCCATCTCTCAAATAAAATCACTGTATCCTACAACCACTAACACAGAGCCCAGCTCGGAGCAATCATGATAAATATACGGAGGCTGACAAGTCCCAAGCATTTTCTACATTCCAACTACCATAGTACCCACTACCTCATGCACTGTTTGCATTGACCTTTGTAAAACAGCTACCATCGTCAGTCTATTCAGACCAAAAAAAAAAAGTGAGGCCCAGGATGGTATGATGTAAAGTTTAGGAACAGATACAACAGAGGGGACCAGAATACAAAAGAGATTCAAGCTCAGATGTTCTGATTCCAGAGTGTCTGCTGATCACTACACTTCCCTGGACTGGTGAGAGCAGGGAGGGAAGGAAAGTAATCTTTAGTCTTCTGCTCCTTGGTCCTTAACACCTACCTGTGGCCCAAGATACAATTTAGCACAGAAACAACACAACTTTCAGAAGGCTGAAACAGCCCTGAGGGAAGTATGAAGGTTAACAACCTATCTCTGGTTTGCCTTCTTGGATCACAACCTACACTCAACTTGATCTTCTTACAGGTGCATGTCTTGTCGACAGACAGCATTCAACTAACATCGGCTGAGAGGTGTGTCATCTGCAGGACTACATTTCATCACCTTGCATGATGCTCACAGCAAAGGTATTCCCACCCCCCATTTTCTTAAGAAAACACGAGTCCAGGAGGTCAGACATTGGGCTCTACTCCTTGCTCTAGGGATCAGTTGAACACTGGGAGATGAAACTGATCAGTGATTTCAATTCACTGAGTAAGACTGACAGACCAACCACAGTTAGGTGTGAAAATAAGAGACCAAAGGATGGAAAACACCATGTGTAAGAGACAAAACTGCCCTGAGGCTGGCATCCTTACCAATGAGCGTGACCCTGTTGTGAACAGTGTGACTACCAGGATCTGCACCCATGTGTTCCTTCCAAATGTACAATTTTGCCCTTCCTGACAACCTGTCACGACAGGCCTTATTAGATAGAATTTTCTCTCTTCCATTCGCATTTAAATATATTAATCAATGTTTCCATACCTGTGTCTTTTATCCCTAGTTATTTAGCAGGCAAAAATTCTAAGGATAGGGCCCGGTACAATGGCGCAGTGGTTAAGATCCTCGCCTTGCACGTCCCAGGATCCCATATGGGCACTGGTTCTAATCCCAGCAGCCCCACTTCCCATCCAGTTCCTTGCCTGTGGCCTGGGAAAGCAGTCGAGGACGACCCAAAGCTTTGGGACTCTGCACCCATGTGGGAGACCCGGAAGAGGCTCCTGGCTTTGGATCGGCATAGTATCGGCCATTGCGCTCACTTGGGGAGTGAATCATCGGATGGAAGATTTTCCTC